CCGCCCTCTGCCCGGCCTGCCGCGCAGGCGTGGCGTCACCCCCATCGCCGTTCACGCCACCTTCCAGCGCCACCCGGTGGCGGCGCTCAAGAAGCACCGGCTGCGGGAGTTTGGGTTGTGGCACGTGGACCCGCCAGAGTACTATGGGCGGGTGCCACCGGGGCTGGAGGGCCCCGCGGCGGGCCGCCTGGCCTCCACGGGAGACTTCCCGCTCAAGGCGCTGGCGTACGGCGGCGAGGGCGAGGTGCTGGCATTTGTGGAGGGGCAGGAGCGGGCGCGGTACGGGCCCAGCGGTACAGGCCACGGCATGCCGCTCATGGAGAAGCACTGGCTGGGCATGAGCTACCAGCTGGCGGCCTTCAGGCGAGGGAGGCGCTGCGCTGGCCTGGCCGGCCTGGCTCCATGCCCGCTGGGCTGGCGGCCACGGCCGCCGCGTCTCGCGGGCTGCCGGCGCATTTCTGCCAGCCGCGCCGCTTCTCTGCTGCTGTCGCCTGCCTCCGTGCTTGCCACCTCCTGCCTGCGTGCCTTCTGCCTGCGTGCCTGCCACCGCCACCTGCCTGCCGCCGCCGCCGCCACCACCGCCACCACGCCCCGTTGCCTGGCCGCAGGGACTCGCTGGCCGCGGCGCGCATGCTGAACCGCACGCTGCTGCTGCCCACGCTGTGGTGCTGGTGCGACCTGTCTGAGTCGCCCGACGTGCTGGAGGCGTGCAGGACGCAGTGAGCTTGATGGGCCGCTGTTGAGCTTGGGCTGCCTGAGCTTGGGCTGCCTGAGCTTGGGCTGCCTGGCCCGCTCGCCTGCCTGCTCGCTGTGTTGGGATGCGTGCGCTGGGCCGGTCCCACGCCGGTCCGGCTGCCGGCACCTGCCCGCCTGCCCGCCTGCCTGCCTGCCTGCCTGCTGTGCCACACTCGGCGCTCGCCCGCCTGCCCTCACGACCCCGGCACCCCCGCGCTGGCCGCTGCGGCTGCAGGGGCAGCGACGTGGAGTTGCCGTTTGAGTGCCCGCTCGACTTCCTGCTCCCGGCGGATTCTCTAGAGGCCGCCGGCGTGGACTACCGCCACCCAGGCTTCCTGGCACTGCCGCAGGTCCCCGACACCCTCCGCAGGGCGAAGGCTGCGGTGGTGATTGTGTCGGAGCGCCCCGCCACGCCCTTCCCGCAGCCCTCCCACACCGTGGGGCACGCCGTGACCGTCTGGGCTGGCATCCGGCAGGGGGAGCTGGTGCAGGCGGTGGCGCCGGTGGAGGGGGAGGCGGTGCTGCAGCTGAGGTGCGCGTGGGGGGTGCCTCGCTGGTGCCTCGTACACCGCCTGCCTGCCTGCCTCCATCCCTCCCACGCCGCCTGCTTGCCTGCCTGCCGGCCTGCGTGCCTGCCTACCTGCCTGCCTACCCTGCCTGCCGCCTTCCCTCTTACCCTGCCTGCCTGACTGACTGCCACCTGCCCTCTCGCACCTGCCCCGCCCGTGCAGGGGCGCAGTGCCCGGCTTCCTGGGCGGCTTTGACGACGTGGCCGCGGCCGCCGCCTTTGACCAGGCCTTTGACCGGGCGGTGGACGACTATGGGGAGCCGCCTCACTGGTGAGCGGATGGAGGTGGAGGCTGGTGGGGAAGAAGCCAGCTGTGTGTACAGTATGCCATAGGTTGGAGGCCATAGGTTGGAGGCCAGCTGCGTGTGCTGTATGCCATTGGTTGGTGGCCAGCTGTGTGTACTGTATGCCATAGGTTGGAGGCCAGCTGTGTGTACTGTATGCCATAGGTTGGAGGCCAGCTGTGTGGACGGTACACGGTTGGCTGGGAGGGCAGGGGAGCTCGGCATGCACTTGCTGGTGGTGGGGAGGTGGGCGGGCACTTGGTGGTGCTGGGGCAGCTTGAGGAAGTGTGCTGCCGCGCTGCCGCCGCAGCGGCCGTCACTGGGCGGGGTTGGGGCTCTTCGCGGCTTGAGCGAGTGCGCGCTGCCGCCGCAGGTGCTGCCTGTCCTGGGGATCGACCGACGTGGGCGAGCGGCGCATTATCCGCTACCAAATGCCGGCGCCGCTGGCAGGTGCGCGGGGCGCGCGCGGCGCAGGCGCCCGCCGCCGTCGTTGCGGCGGCGGCGCCAGGCGCCGGGCAGGGGCTCGGCAGCCCGGCTGCGCCCCAGGGCCACCCGCCCCAGCCGAGCAGCTTGCTAGCAGGCCACGGTCGGCCTCGCTGCTGCAGCGTGGTGGACTGGGCTGCCCTCGGGCGCCTGAGCATCCCCACCACCGCATGTGCCCTGACCTCGGTTCCCTTGGGCTGTGCCTGTGATGTCTCCCCCGCAGACGGCTGGAAGCCGTGGGAGGCGCCTCGGCTGGCGGTGCCCCCCTGGTGCGACCTGCTGAGCAGTGAGGACGGCAACGACCAGTGGGCGCGGCTGCCGCAGCACCCCTGCGCCTTCCTCCGCAACGCGACCGCTGCGGCACTGGCTGCGGCGCGGCCGCCGCCGCCGCCCCCCCCACTGGCGGCCCTGGCAGCGGAAGCCGGCGGCGGGGGCGAGGGCGCCGCAGGCTACCAGAGAGGCGGCTTTGCGGGGCAGGATGGCAGCGGCGGAGGCGTGGGCGAGGCCAGGGGCGAGCAGGCTGCTGAGGAGGGCGCAGCAGAGGCGGGCGTGGGAGTGGAGGCGGGAGATGCAGGCGGCGGCAGGTAGCCCTGCTGAGACCTGCTGACTCCCACATCTGCGTGTGCTGTCCGTGCGAGATGCGTGGCCTTTCTGTTGAGGACGCAGCGCTGTGATAGAGCGGCACCGGCAAACAGCAAAGCAAGCTGCTAGTAGAGAGGAAGGGGGCACGCTGAGGGGAGGTGGAGAGGCACGCTGGCCCAGGCCTAGCGTTAGCGCCTACCACTGTGCCCTGACGCTATCGGGCACTGTGCCCTGAAGCGCACTGTGCCCTGAAGCGGGCAAGGGTTGCAGGCGCAAAAGGGATGCAAGAAATCGCAGAATCAAGCAAGCAGTATACAAGTGCAACGCAATGACTCAAACACGCAACATGATGCAGGCTGTCAGTGATTGGCGGCAGCTCATCTCTGCATCAGGCTATCCGATCAGGGTGCTGACATCAATCGAAATTGCTGGCACCCCCGGCAGGGCTGCCCTCCTGCGGCTGCTGCCGCCCAAGCCCCGGCACCTCTCGCTCTGCCGCCGCCGCCTCCGCGCCGCCGGGCACGAGCAGCTGGCGCCGCACCAGGGCCGCATACACACCGCCCGCCGCCAGCAGCTCGCCATGCCCGCCCTGCTCCGCCACCCGCCCCTCCACCACCACCGCCACGCTGTCGGCGGCCTGCACCGTGGACAGGCGGTGGGCGATGACCAGCACGGTGCGCCCGGCAGAGGCTCGGTCCAGCGCCTGCTGCACCAAGTGCTCGTTCTCAGCATCCAGTGCAGACGTGGCTTCGTCCAACAGCAGCACCCTGCAGGCGGGGGCACCGGGCAAACCCCAGGCGGCGCCGCACAAGGGAGCAGGTCGGCGGGGGAGGGAAGGGAGGGCGCCCAACACACGTCCGTGTGGGAGCACTCAGCAGGAGCTTGCTGAGGTTGGGCACGGCACCCACCTGGGGCTCGTGATCACCGCCCTGGCAATGGCGACGCGCTGCTTCTGCCCGCCGCTCAGCCGCACGCCGCGCTCGCCCACCAGCGTGCGGTAGCCCTGCAGCTGGCCACCACCCTCAGCATCCCCCCTGGCAAGCGTGCTGCTGTGCCAGAGCAAGCAATGCACCGACCCCGCCCAGCGCTGCCAGCGCTGGCCACACACGGCATCCTCCTCCTTCCCCTTTCCTCCCTGTTCTTTCTTTCTTCCACCTCTTTCTTTCACCTGAGGGAAGGCGGAGATGAAGTCGTGGGCGTTTGCCACCCGTGCCGCCGCCTCCAGCTGCTCCTGGCTGGCGGCGCCGCCGGGGCAGCCAAACGCGATGTTGGCGGCGATTGTGTCGGCAAACAGAACGGGCTCCTGGCCCACCAGCGCCACCTGCTGGATAGGCGCGGGCCGTCAGGCGGCGTGCAAATCATGAGGTGGAGGGCGGAGGCAGGCATGTGGGAGCTCCAGGCTGGCTCCGAGCGCCGCTGCTGCCTTGCAGCAGCCCAGGCGTGACGGCCACGCGCGGCAGGCGCAGCGGCAGCGCTCCCATCGGCGCCTCGCCTGGTGGTGCAGGTGGCTGTGGTCGATGGCGGGCAGCGGCACCCCGTCCAGCAGCACCGAGCCGCGCTGCGGGTCATAGAAGCGCTCTATCAGGGCCACCACGGTGGACTTGCCGCCGCCGCTGGGCCCCACCAGGGCCACCTGCGGGCGGCGGCAGCGGGACGGGATGCTGGAACCAAACGGCAGCAGCAGCCAGGACCACCGCCAGGCTCTCCAGGCAGCCCAGGCAGCCCCCGCGCACCTTGTTGCCGGGTGCCACGTGCAGGCTGAGCCCTTGCAGCACCCAGACTGCCGGGCGGGAGGGGTAGGCAAACCACACGCCCTGCAGCCTCAGCTCGCCGCCCTCGGGCACCCCCACCGGCCGCTGCTTGCCGCCAGCCAGGTCCAGCAGCGGCTGGCGGTCCAGCAGCTGGAACACCCGCTCGCTGGCGCCCAGAGCCTGCAGCCAGCGGCGGCAGCAGGCAAGCTGTCGGAAAGCAACCAGCTGCTTCTGTGGCATGTCCCAGGCTGAGGGTCCTGCAGGGCTGGCAGCCGAGGGATGCTTGCCTGAATGACGTTGGAAAACACGCCCATCAGCATCCCTGCAGGGGCGGGACAGGGACTTGTTTGACAAACAAGCAAATCCATGTGAACCCGACAGCCTGCGTGGTGTGGTGGGCTGTGTGGCTGTGTGGTGCATCGGCATCGCTGGCCACACCCCTGCTGCTAGTCCTAGTTTAGCTCCACCCTTCCTGCCTCCCTCACCTGCATTGGCCGACACATAGATGGCATAGACCACAAAGGCCGACAGCTGGCCCGCGCTGAGCTGCCCCGCAATCACCAGCCGCGCCCCGTACCACAGCACCATCATGATTGATCCTGCGGGGAGGTACATGCACAAACACAATGATTCCTTTGGTCGGGCATGCACAGTGGGGCATCTGCGCCATCATGGGGCACCATCCCCCGATGGAGCGGCATAGAGCGGATGAGCGGTGCAAGGCAACAAGGTGGGGTGGTGCAGGCACTGCTGTGTGGCGTGCAGCCCGGCTTGCAGCTTGGCCGGCAAGAGCAGCCGGGGCAGCTGCCCACCGGTGGCCAGTGAATTGGTGAGCGGGAAGAAGCAGCCCTCTAGCGCCGCCGCGCGCAGCCCGTAGTGCAGCGTGCGCCCCTGGGCCGTCTCGTAGCTGCCCCGCATCGCGCCCTCCTTGGCGAACGACCGCACCGTGCGCAGGTTGCCAAAGCACTCCTCTGCCACCGTGGCGGCGGCGGCGCTGGCCGCCAGCTGCTCCTTGATGTACCGCCGGCTCAGGCGGCCAAAGGCCCAGACGAGGAGGAAGAGGGGCGGGATGATGCAGATGGCGAGGGTGGACAGCAGCCACGAGGTGGTGAACCTGTGGGGGAGGAGGGCTCTTGCCAGCACATGGGCTGCATAGCACACAGAAAGGTATGGCACGGCACAGCACAGCACAGCACCGACCAACCCTCACATCATGACGAGCCCCAGCGTGCACACCGCGGCGGCGCGCAACGCCTGCGCGATGCTGGTGGTGGCCACCGACTTGAGCAGGCGCGTGTCCTCAGACAGCCGGTTGGTCAGCTCCCCCGTGCGGCAGCGGTCAAACCAGCCCACCTTCAGGGGCCAGGCGGGCAGGGGCCAGGCGCGCACAGCGGGGAGGCAAGGAGAGAAGGGTGAAGCGTATCTAAGCGGCACATGCCCGGCATCGGTCGCTGCCTCTGCCCTGGCAGGGCATCTCTCTGCCTGCTGCCGCCTGCACTCTGCAGGCCGGCCGCCTCTCCGGACCGCCCTCTGCCTGAGCGCCATCCTCCGGAATAGCAAAACTTAAAGTGCCGCGCTAGAGCGGCCTCACCTCCTGCTGCAGCAGCGCGCCAAACAGGCGCACCCGCAGGCGGTACATTACCCGCTCCGCAGCCGACTGGAACAGCCAGGAGCGCAGGCCGTCGGCGGCGCCCGTCACCGCCACCACCACCAGAATCTGCGGCGGGTGAAGGTTGAGACTTTCACACGGCTCGGCCAGATGTTAGCGCTGCAATCGGCGCCGCAGCACGCTGTGAGCGCCAGTGCCAGGTGCGGCCAAGGGGGAGGAGGGGCAGGCAGCGGGCTGGGCCTCCAAGATGCTGCGGACCTCGGAGAGGATGCGGCTGGTGGTGCGCCTCGCCTCCTCGGCGCTGCCGCCCGCCTGCTGCTGGATGGCCACATCGATCAGGTCGCCTGCCAGCTTGGGGAAGGCCACCTGGCCCACGGAGGCCACCAGCAGCACCAGCGATGCCAGCGCCAGCGTCCACGCCTCCTCTCGGGCCAGGCGGAACAGCCGCCCCGCGGCGACCTGCTTGGCCCTCCCGTCCCGCTGCTGCGCCTCGGCGTCGTCGCCGGCCAGCAGCTGGTAGTCGCGATTGGGGTCGCCTGGGCCCCATGCATGCCTAGGGGGCGGCATGGGCACCTGGGCCTGCGTGCAGCACGTGGGCAGTGGAGAGCGCCGGAGGGAGCGGCGGAGCGGTGGGTGGCGACGGCGGCAAAGCCGGGCAGCAATCGCGGCCCACAGTCACGTGCAACACTCAATTCGTGCCGCAGCGCAGGCGTCCTCAGCCAAGGGCCAGCACCTCGGGTTGGGTCGGGGCGATGGACCTGTGGAAGCGGTCGACAAGAAGAGCAGCCAAACCTTGCGTCCCTCGATGGCATGAATGATGGGGCGAGCCTGCGCAGGTGGAGCTGCCAATGAGGCTCTTGCGCCCTGGCGGCGCCACCTGGCAACAGCCGGCTGCCGGCGGGGTTGCCGTAGTACTCCCCCCCCTCTGCCTGGAGCTCACCGTGAATCTGGATCATTTCAGACTAGAGCAGCAAGGAGACGAGCGACAGCCCAACCGAATCCATGTCGGCCCACCCATGCCGCCACAACACACACAGAAGGCCCTCCGGTTGCTTCGCCGACGCACCGCACTTCCAACCATGTGTACAGTCAGAGCAGCCTCACAGCTCTTTTCATGTCATTACCTTCCTGTCTTACGTCGCCCGCCTTGTCGATGGGCTGATCCTGGTCTTCTTGCTGCAAGCCGCCGCCATAGCGTTTAGGGTAAATACCTGATAAAGGACAACCGCGAATATAATAACGGCAGCACCCCAGCATGTCCTGCCCATGGCGATGCCTCTCCGGCCCTCTTACAGCTGCAGAGGCGTCAGGAGGCGGCTTGAGCCGCTCATTGAGCTGTGCCGGTGACACAAGTTTGCCCAGCGGCGGCCCCGGCCCGGGGTCTGTGGAGGCGGTGTGGCGGGACCGTGGTGACGGTCAGCACCGTGGCTGCCCCTGGCGCCAAACGCCCTTCAAACGTGGCGGGCACGCATACTTGAGGCAGATCGTGCTCCGGTCTGGCGGATTAGTCTTTGATTCTGAGTTTTGAGCCACACGTGCAGCCACGGGGCAGCTGCCCCTATGACATGTGTCCGGTGGGTTTCGAGCCAAATGCACTCATCTATTCAGCCGCCACTTTTCAATGCTTTCCTGACCCACCGAAATTGCCGGTTCAAGCCCTGCTGGGGCCCGTTGGCCACGGCGGGAGCTTGGGCCGCCATGTTGTTCTGTTTTGGCAGCTCTTCTGTGGTGGACGCCCCTCATCCTCGCCAAGAACAGCCCTCAGCGAACCATGAAAGCGACCAGTTCCGCATGGAGTGCTTCAAGGTGTGGGCCTCTCCTCGATGAGGGGGCGCGGCTCTGGGGGTTCCCCTCTCAGCAACGCAGTCGTGGCCAGCACGACTGGCTATCGCGCCAGGACGGCGCCGCCCGGCGGTGGTTGGGTGCAAGTGGTCATGCATGGCGGTGCCCCGCGCACCGCCGCCACGCTACGTGCCGGCCGGCGCTCAGCTTTCCCATCCCAGCGACTACCCGGCCCACGTCGTCACTCGTTGCTGCCGCCCTTACCCTTCTCGTGTGGATGCGCATATCCTCCCCTGCACGAAGCACTTTGTGCACGACTGGACAGAGTGCCCCTATGCGCACCCACACGAGAAGGCGCGGCGCCGCGACCCGCGCCGCTACACCTACACAGGCATCGTCTGCCCCTCCATGCGCCAGGTGAGGAGCGGGGTGGGATGCGGTTCGTGAGGCCCTGTCATGGAGGTAGCTGCACGCTCCCTGGCGTTCACAGCCCTACCCTGCAAACCGCCAGGCGGTGGCCAACCACCGCTGGCATCCCCGCCTGGCCATCCTGCAGCGCGGAAGCTGCACCCTAGGTGACAACTGCCCTTTTGCGCATAACGTGTTCGAGTACTGGCTGCACCCCACCAGGCAAGCGCGGCGGCAGGCAGCATTCAGGACAGGCCGGGCGCTGGCTGCCCGTCCCAACCGCTGCGCTCGACTGAGCGCCACTGCCGGTGCCAACCCTGCAGGTACCGCACCCAGCTCTGCAACGACGGCACCACCTGCACCCGCAAGCTCTGCTTTTTCGCCCACAGATGAGGGTGCTTGGCGCTGGTGCGCCGTGCCTTAGGCCTCTGTGGCAGCATGTCAAATGATGGCATCCACGCCCCGCTTCCCCCACCGCCATCCCCTCAATGCAGCCTGGATGAGCTTCGGACGCCTACCAGCAAGCCAATGGTGCCGCCAGGAGTGCTGCTGGATGCAGCTGCTGCGTCCGCGTCAGGGCCCGCTCCCATACCGGCACCATTGTCGCCGCGTGGCGACAACCTCCCGCTGCCACTGCAGCAGCAGCAGCAGCAGAAGCAGCACAGCCATCCCCAGCGGCCGCAGCAGCCCCACCACCACCCACCCCTTGCAGAAGAGCAGGCAAGCTGCGGCGGCCCGTGGCCCTGCTGCCTGCGCTGCCGGCATCGCCGCCTCCACCCTGCCCCCGCCGTTCTGCGTGCGCCGCGTCCCCTCCCAGCGCTCAGCCTGCTGGCGCCGCCGTCTGCTGGTACCCTTCATGTGTGCAGGACCACCGGCGTGTGATCCAGCAGGTGACGCTCCTGCTGGAGCGGGGGGACCTCGGCCCCGAGGCGTCTGCCGCCATTCTGCAGCGCCTGCTGCCGCCAGAGGCGCTGTACAGCATGCAGCTGGCCAGCCGGGCGGACCCGCTGCTGGTGCCGGCGCCGCGGCTGAGCGCAGACCGCATCTCTGCCTGCCCGCCAGGTGAGCTGCTCGGCAGGCGCTCGTGTTGGCGGGGCACCATTCCCATCCCCTGCTGTGGATTGTTTGGTTGAGGTTGGAGGGGACCGCGCGTTGGTCCCCCATCATGCTGCTGCCTGCTGCGCGGCTGACGAGCGTTCGCTGCCGGCCTGCGTGCAGCTGGGCCCCGCAGCAGCGGAGGCCCCGGGCACCTTGCCGCGCCGGTGCAGCTGTCGGCACCAGCGCGGCTGGCGGTGCCGGCAGGGCTGTCGGCGCGGCCGACACCGCAGCATGCATCCGCAGACTGCCTGCTGTCGCTGCACAGCCACATCCAGTCTCCCTCGCACCGCATGTCGCGCAGCGCGGCGGGCAGGCTGTTTGCGCTGCCACACGGATACGCCTCTGTGGTGGCCTGGAGCGCACGCTCGAGCCTCGACTCAGGTGCGGGCTGGGGCTGGCTGGCTGGTTTCGGCAGCGCGAGCCTTAGCGGTGACGGTGGTCACCTGGTGGTGGTGGCGGTTTGGTGCCAAGCAACGAGGCAGGTGCATGCTGGCTGGCCAGCACCCCATGCTCTCCAACGTGCAGCGGCTGCAAAGGCAGCGCTCCGAGCCTTGCGTCGCCCTGCCCGCCAGATGACACAGGCAATGCCCGGCCACTGCTCCCTCCCGCCCTGCAGACCGCTCCAGCATGGATTTTACTTCCTGGCGCAGCAGCGGCAACTCCGCTGGCGCGGCGGAGGCCGGCCTGGACGCCCGCTGCTGCTAGGCTGGCAGCAGGCCCTGATGTGGGCGGCTGCAGCAGACCCCACAGCATCCATGCTATGACCCCACCCATGATACATGCATAAGAGATGAGCCTCTTTTTGGACAACTCGCTGAGCGCATTCATCCGTTTCTCTCTCCCAAGCTACCCGGCTGTAGCTCGCTGGCAGCTATACCTGTGTTCTGCTCTTGCCCTTCTATCAAGTCCACACACCATCAGTCTACACATGTTAATTTCCGATGTCCACACGCCATCAGTCTACCCGTGTTTCTTTCCGATGCCCTTCTTGAATACAAATTGCCTTGTCCCAAATGCTTCAACACATGCACCTGGCGCTGCTACGCGTCCCACACATCACAATTACTACGCACTCGCCATTTTGATGTAACCAACGTCACACCTGCAAAATTGCGGCTGCGCAGCGCCGCGCTGGCCATTGCTGCGCGCGGTGGCTGTGCGGCAATCACCCCCCTCACCAGGTGGGCGGGACGCACCCTGGGACTGGGCGCAGCGGCAAGCTGCAGCGCGGCCTGTTGCTCTGTTGGGAGTGCTTTCCCCGAATCACTGTCTGGCCCCAGGCCATGGCATTACCCTGCCTGCTATTCTTGCAGCAGCACAAGGTCCCACAAACAAACGACTGCTGGTGGTGACCGCTGGGTGCGGCTGGTGTCCTGGCCGCCGCCGCTGCAAGTCGCCGCCGCCGGCCTGTCGCCGCCCCACAGCTTGCAACGAGTCGGCTCTGTGCTCCTTGGTGTGGGGCACCAAGGAAACCCACCGGGGCCCGCGGGGCGCGCCCTCTCGAGAGGCATGCATGACTGTGACCTCACAGCACGGGCAGCCGGACTAGTTGCGAGCTCTAGACAGGTGTTGGGTGCCGCAAACCCAGCCCCACTGCGCGTGTGTCCGCGACGATTGCGGCGGCGGAAGCTGGCCGGAGGCCTTCAAAGGGCCTTGTCACCGATGGCCCGATCGGTTTGGAGGGTCTCTTTTCTGGACCTCCTGTCGTCATTCCTCCCTTCACCTGAGCACACACACACACACACACACACACACACACACCTCGCCGTCGACTTCTCAAGATATGGAGGAGCTCTGAAGATACGCAGTGTATCACTCGCCAAACTCCTGCCGGCAGCGCCTGCTATCGCACCCTTATTGACACCGCCCCCACCCCTCGATCGGCCCGGCCGGCGGCAGCGGGTTGGAGCCATGGACCCGCGGGCAGACGCCTGCAAATCGTCAGAGGCGGGCATGGACGAGCTCTTCAAGAGCGACCAGTTCCGCATGGAATGCATGAAGGTGAGGGAGGCGGCGGCGGGGCCGGGGAGGCAGCACCCGCCCCAAGCTGGCCGGCGCGGCGGCCCCGGCCGCGCCGCCTACCACGCGCCGCCCTGCCTGCCCTCTCCTCTCTTGTCCCCCGCTGCTGGCCCACCTGCTGGCTGCCCCTTCCACCTGCAATGTGTGCACTTTGGTGCGGGCGGTGCGCCCACCTGCCGAGCACTTACTTACCTGGGCCGCCCCGCTGCCGCTTCCTACCGCCTTGCGCAGGTCCTCCCCTGCACCAAGCACTTTGTGCACGACTGGACAGAGTGCCCCTATGCGCACCCACACGAGAAGGCGCGGCGCCGCGACCCGCGCCGCTACACCTACACAGGCATCGCCTGCCCCTCCATGCGCCAGGTGAGGAGCGGGGCGAGGCCGGCGGTTGGGGGGCTGCCGCCGCTTGCATGGCGGCACACCAAGGCTCCAGGGAGTCGAGCCACGACTGCGCCCCCGGCTTTGTGCTGCCGCTTCGATGCAGGATGGAAGCTGCACGCTGGCAGACAACTGCCCATACTCCCACAACGTGTTTGAGTACTGGCTGCACCCCACCAGGCACGCGAGGCGGCACGCAGCACCGCGGCAGGCCTTGTGGGGACGGCAGCTGGCACCGCCGTGCCAGCCGTGCGGCGCTGCGCTCTCGCCTGCCCGCCCGCGTGCACAGCGCGTTTTGCTGGCTTCTGCCCTGGCTTGACCCTGCCCAGCCCCCGCCCCTCCCACCGGTGCAGGTACCGCACGCAGCTCTGCAACGACGGCACCACCTGCACCCGCAAGCTCTGCTTCTTCGCCCACAAGTAAGGCCGGGGCCGAAGCAGCCCGATCCGTGCTCTCCCAGTGAAGGCGCTCGCCTGCCCTCAGGCTGCAGCTTGCTGGCTGGCGGAGCCTCCAACCTGGCCCTCCTATCCTCCCGCCTCTTGCCCGTAGCTTGGACGAGCTGCGCACCCCAGACACCAAGCCGTTTGTGCCGGCAGAGGCCGTGCTTGCGGCCGCGGCCGCCGCGGCAGCAGCCAGCGGCCCAGGTAACCAGGCTGCTGCCTGCCGCTGGCGCCGTGGGTTTGCGTTACAGCACGATGTCGCCGCCAAGCAGCGCGCACATCCTCTGGCCGCCCCCTGGCGCTCCCATGACGCGCCTGCGCTCTGTGCTGTGCCGTGCTGTGCTGCAGCGACGATGTTCGACGCGCCGCCGCCGGCGGCGCACTCCCCGCTGCAGTCCCCGCGCCAGTCGTTTGACGCCGCGGCGCAGCAGGCGCAGGCGCAGCAGCAGGCGCAGGCGGCGCAGCTGACCAGCCCGCAGGTGCGCCGCGGCCGCTGCCTGCGCCTGGCGCGCCTGCCTGGTCAGCGCCGCAGCTGGTTCTGCTTGAACCCCTCGCCAGCCAACCTCCCCGAGCGCGCGTGGCGCTGCCCTCGCCCCCGCATGCGCCCGTCCCCGTCGCCTCACCTCCTCGCCGCCTGCCTGCCTGCCTGCCTGCGTCCCGCGGTTGGTGCAGGGGCAGGAGCACCCTTTGGTGGAGGTCATGACGCGCCTGGTCGCGCGCGGCAAGGTCACCCCGGAAAAGTCTGCGGCCATCCTGCAGCAGGTGCTGTCCCCCGGCGCGCTGCAGGACCTGCGCGGCGTGGCGATGGCGGAGCGCGTGTGCCTCAGGTGCGGCGGGGAACGGAGCAGAGCATGGCGCCGCCTGGTGGGGCGGATGCGGAAGCGCAGGCAGCCTGCATGGAGGTGCAGCGAGGCACAGCCGTGCGGGGCGTGGTGCAGCGCGGCCGCTGCGCAGCCGGGCCCCGGAAGGAAGGGCTGCCGGGAGTCCGCCCCCGGGCGCCGCAGCTGCCTCTGCCGCATGTAGCGCCAACGCCGCCACCCCTCGCCCCGCCTGCTTGCAGTGACCCGGGCTGGGCGCGCGCCGACCTCTCCCCGCGCGCCGCCACGGCCGCCGCCGCGGCCGCGCCCGCCGCGCAGCCGGGCGTGCCTGGCGTGCGGTACAGCGCCGACTGCGCGGCGCCCCGCTGCGCCGCACCGGAGCATGGCCCCAGCGTGGCGGAGCAGCGCCTGGCGCTGCTGCAGGGCGTGCTGCACGAGGCGCAGGCGCGCGCCGCGCTCGGCCTGCCCGCCACCGCCGCCGACGCCCTGCTGGCGCCAGCTGGACCGCATGGGCTGGACCGCATGGCCAGCGGCAGCGCCCGCTCAAGCATCGACACAGGTGTGTGTGTGCGCGTGTGTGTGTGCGCGTGTGTGTGCGTCTGTGTTTGTGCGTGTGTGTATGCCTGCGTCCCTCTGGTGGCCGGCAGGCGGGGCCACCACAGCGCCCTGCCTGCTGGGCATACACCGTGTCCCCGGCGCGGCATGTGCCCTCCTATGCGCGCCGCGCCGAGCTCCCACCTCGCTTGTGTGTGCTGCGTGCCTTGCAGTGCGCGCCAGCTTTGACGCCGCCCCGCCGCGCACCAGCTTCGACTCCCCGCACCTGGCTGCCCTGGGCCCCGCCTCGAGGCACAGCTGGGATACCTCGTACACCACCAGGGTGCAGCAGCAGCTGCTGCTGGACGCCCTGCACCAGCAGCAGCAGCTGCAGCAGCAGCAGGCGGCGGCCCTGGCCGCGGCCGCCGGCAGCAGCTTCTGGGCGGCCGGCGGCGACAGCCGCAGCCTGGACAGCCAGCGCAGCGCGGCGCACAGCGCCAGGCACAGCATGGAGAGCAGGCCCAGCGTGGACAGCGCGCCGCCGCACCTGCACCAGCTGCAGGAGCTGCACCATGCCAGCCAGGGCCTGGCCAGGATGAGCCTGGATGAGCCCGCCCCCAGGTGTGCTGGGCAGCGCTGCGCTGCTGAGGGCCGCGGAGGGAGCGGCAAAGGCACAAGCAGCGGCAGGAGCTGGGGCGGCATGCACGGTGGGTGCTCCTGTGGTTGCAGCCACCGACAACTCTGTTGCCCTCGCACCCTGGCGCCTGCAGGATGGATGTCTTCTCCTCTGGCTTCTACGCCCCCGCCCCAACAGAGCTGCTCGCCAGCTCCCAGCCTCTCAACGCATCCGAGCGCGCTCAGCTGATGCACCCCCAGCCGCGCCGCTCCGCCTAGCCGCGCCCAGGCGCTGCAGGCTCCCACCTTCAGGCCTCGGCAGCGTCGCCCTAGCGCGATGCCGAGCCTGCCTATCAGCTACCGCGTCCGGCGGCTCTGCGGCGGCATTTTTTTCCAGCCGCCCGAGAGTCGCCGCCGCGTGTACTCCCCAGCCCCACCCCAGACACGCCTGATCCTCCCGCCTCCTGTTTCCGGCTTACCATGAATGAATGAATGAATGCAAATTGTCGACGCTGCGCAAACCCACTCACCCATCAACCGACGCGCAGCGCCGAATGCTGCCCCGCCCTCCACGCCATTTCAAGCACCGTGTTCTTTTTGTTGTCTCCCCCAAGTCAGCGCACCAAAGCAAAACTGCCTTGTGGTCCCGCCGTGGGCTGTGCCGATGGCTCCGCCCTCTAGCTTTCCTATCGCTCCCCTATTCTTTTGGAGCTCCCGTATTCTTTTGGAATGTCTTTCTCGCCCTCAGCCTGCCCAGCACCCCTCTCCATTCTCTGCCACGCCGCGCTGATCAAACTAATCACTCCCCACAGTCCCGCGGCACAGCATGTTTGGAGGTCTGCCTTCCCAAGTTCTTTCTTCTTTCTCCCAGAAGAGTTGACGTCTGGCCATTCGCCGCAGTTGCTCAACCTAAAGGAGGGGCCCTGCTGGCCCTGACACATCTCTGGTCTTCTTTTTCATCGCGCCGGTGCCTCTGCAGCCCAGCATGCCTCTCACCGGCGCGGCCCCAGCCCCACACCCCTGGTCCCCCCTAGCGCACACACCGTATGTGTCCCCCCTTTTTCACCTTTCTCGACTACACTAGCTTTTGATCGTGTAACAGTAAATGAGATGAGAGGCACATTTGCCCCTCAAGGCACAGCCTTCCTAGAGGGCAAGAGAGGAGGGGGCTGAGCTGCCAAAACAGGCACAATAGATAGCTGGGAGCAAGGGCATACGGAAGGGTACTGGAGAGGCTCACACATGGGGGCAGCGCTACAGAGCGGGCCATGAATGGCGGCCCGGTGAGCAGGAAGGAAGGAGGCCGCCGGCAGGGGACGGCAAGGATGCGTCGAGCTAAGCTGCTGGCTGGGTGGCGGCAGCCTGGGCTGGCGGTGCCTGGCTTGGCTAGGGTGTGCAGCGCTATGGCATGCACGCAGTGGTACAGGGACCTGGCGCGGGGAGCAACTGTGAGGCTGGGATGCGATACCTGTCTAGCAAGCTGCGCGGTGGGCTGCGCTGGCTGGCGGGGGGGCCCGGGCAGCTAGAGTCCCGTGGAGGCCTTGCCGCCGCCCGACGTCCCCGACAGCACCTGCGTGCGCTCCGCGTCGCTGCCCGTGCTGCTGCCGTGGCACCTCTCGGTGCATTGCGGGTCGTTGAGCGAGGCAAGGGTGGCCTTGGGCACATCAATCGTGTCCTGCCACCCCGGCACCGCGGCCACGCCGCCCTCCAGCCCCAGCGCCGCTGCAGGCAGGGGCAAGGCGGGAGCGGTGGGCGGGGTCAGCAAGCGAGGTGAGCGGGGCCGCGACTCGTGCAGGGGGCATTCCTGGGGCAGGGCCCGCTGCCGCTGCCGCTGCCGCGTGCGCCATGAGAGCAGCCAAGGCTGCCACAGCCAGGCGCCGCCAGCTGGACGAGCAGGCGACGCCGCCGGGCCCTGCCTGCTGGTCCACAGCCGCTCCAAACAACCGGGCCGCCTCTGCAGGCTCCACCTTCAGCCCAGCCCAGCCCAGCCCACCCCCAGCGCAGCCCAGCCCAGCCAGCTCCAGCACAGCCCCACCCCCAGCCCCGCCCCGCCCTGCCCACCCCCAGCCCCGCCCACCGGCAGCCGCGGC